AATTATTCCATCCCAGCTGCAGAGACAGGATAGTTTTTTTCCTTTCTCTTACTAGATGGGTGACCTTATTGTAAAGGGATATCAAATAAGTTAAACAGGACCTTCCCTTTGTGAACACATATTGCCTGTGCCTTTAAATGTCTTTCAGTTGCACCCAATAGGATCTTCATAGCACCCAGATGAAAAGCAGGGGACTATTTGTCCAGTCATTGGGGGTTATCTTACAGTCCGTGTGAGCTGGGAGGAGCTCTGGGCACAGGTTTTCTGTCTGGAAACAGACAAAAGGTAAGACTGCAGTAAGAGGTTGAGCAGAATCAGGATAGGAATGAAATTAGCTTTCATCTTCCTTCATGCAATCATTCAGCGCAAACACTAGATATCAAACCATGTCTGTGGGTCTCTGCTCAACAAACCACTGTTCTCTGGGCATGAATGCATTTGTGCTGGATTTCTGCCTTTCAGTTGTGGCAAAAACTATTTCGTTGATATCTAGTTAGCACAACGTATGTGCCAGTCCAGCAAGGCATGTGACAAAGTACATGAAGGTCTTGACAGTGAAGTTCAAATCTCCTGTTAAAACAAATAACTGTCTGGCCCATCAGTGCTTCCTCCTCTAATCCAAAGCTGGTGCACTGAGGGTTGAAAACCTTCCTACGAAAAATTTTGTCACACTTGCAGAGAAGATGCCCATGCTATGAAGATGGGGTTGTCTAATACTTAACAGAAATTGTACTGATGCTGGAAATATACTTAATAACCTCCTATCAGCATATCACCTTTGTTGAGAACATACGAACTAAAGAGACACATGACAAGCCTCTGACATGTTTCTGCAAAAGCTTGACGGAGATGTTAAAGTCAGTAATTACAAAAGGTTTTGTATAGTTAAAGAAAACAAATGCCTAAGGAAGGTTTTGCTCACTTCAAATGAGAAAAAGCATAAGGGCTTTGAGTTGCTGTTAGTTTAAAAAAAAAAAAATCTAATAATTTTTCTCATCCAAATTTAACTGACAGCAGATAATCTCAGCTCTCAAACTCATTATCTGAGAGATTATTATCTTTACCTGATAAAAATGAATGTGAAACTTCAGAAAAAGAGCAATGAAGTCTGAAGCAGTTAAACTGAAGGGTGGGGATGTTTCTGAAGTCTGCATCTCTATCCAGATTCACCCATCCTTGATGACAATTAAATACAAGATTAAAAAAATTTCCCTTGTTGCTTAAAAGATATTTTCACATTTCTGTAAGTACTTACTGGCACAGATAATGATTTTCTATGGTGGGTGGCATAAAAACTGGAAAAAAAAAAGACATTATCATTTGGACATAACTATATGCACCATCCTGTCATTTTAACTACATTGGAGCTGAAAACATTCTGGAAGTAGAGTGATTTCATATGTGGTTATAATACAAAATATACTGGTTTTTGCTATCAGACAGCCTTCTCTGCAGTGTCACATACCTAAAACATGTATACTTCTGAGAGAATTTTCTTTCTTTTTTCTTTCTAGTAAAATAACATTGGAATTCAAGATAAGGCTGTTCTGTAGTCAGTATTTTTCATTATCCTTTCCAATGAGCACATTAATAGTAAAGAGGCGTACATATGCAAGCCTCATCTGGTATTCAGGATAGCCAGATAAGAAGCTGTGAACCTTTTTGATGCAGGAGAGAAAAGCCATCTGGTGATGGCTCAGCAGCTAGTTAGCTGGGATTATTCTCATACTGATTATTTTCCTTTACCTGTGAACTAAGCACATAACTTTCTTGTCTGCCCAGAATGAAAGCACGTTGGGGCAGCTGTGGTCTCACCTCTGTAGGGTGAGAAGAACTCTAAAGAGGGACTACACCTAAAGGCAGCTTTTTAGTCCCTGTTCACCAGTGGATTGCTGAGGATTTGTGTTGCGACTTTGATAATATTGCCTCTGTTCTTTCCTCCAATGTTTTTCACCTCAAAAATGAGTATTACCTCTCCACAGACTTGAGCACTATAAGAATATATTGGCTTGTGCTTTGAAGCCATTGTCTGGTTTGTCTCTACCATTTAGTTATTACCTGTTGCTCCTTAGTTTCATTGAAGACGTGACTCCAATGCATTTTAAGCAAAGTTATTATAAATTTCCTGCCTTGGTTGCAGTTTTCAAAGAAAGCTTTTTTCCTTAGGCTAGAACAAATAAGGTGGGTTTCCTGATATCCCTCATCAAAGCATGTTGGTGATTAAAAAAAGATGATAATGTGAGAAATTTTTGTGGCAATTTTTTTGTTAAGAAGTAAACAGATTTCTTTTGAATTAGGGCAGAAAATAACTGATACAACTGTCTGCAGTACTGAAAATTTTTTGAGCATTGAGATAATAATCCTGGTATTTTGAAAAATACCTTGCCACCCTTAGAAGCATTGAATGATTGTTATGTATCTCTTATGGGGCAACCTTTGCCATCACAGAACCACAGAATGGGTCAGGCTGGAAGGGACCACAGTGGGTCATCTGGTTCAATCTCCCTGCTTAAGCAGGGTCATCCTAGAGCACATGGCACAGGATTATATCCAGGAGGTTCTTGAATGTCTTCAGTGAGGGAGACTTTGCAACTTCTCTGGGCAATTTGTTTCAGTGATCGGTCACCCTGCACAGTAAAGAAGTTTTTCCTTATATTCAGGTGGAACTTCTTGTTCATCAGTTTCTGTCCATTGCCTCTTGTCCTGTTGTTTGTCACCACTCAGAAGAGCCTGGCTCCATCCTCTTGACACCCTCTCCTTAGATACTTGTGTACATTGATGAGATCCCCTCTCAGTTGTCTCTTCTCGAGGCTGAACAGGCCCAGTTCCCTCAGTCTTTATAAGAGAGATGCTCCAGTCTCCTGATCAGCTTCAGTGCCTGGTAAAGTTATGGAGATTGTTCTGGGAAGTAGTGAAAAGTACTGAAAAACACTTAAAAGACAACTTAGTCACTGGTCACAGCCAACGTGGCTTCAGAAGAGGAAAGTCCTGCTTATAAAACCTGATTTCCTTTCATAACAAGGCAACCCAGCTAACTGATTAGGGAAGCCAGTTGATGTAATCTTTTTGAATTTCAGTAAAGCTTTTATTACTGTCTCTCACCGCATCCTTCTGAAAAAATGTCCACCATGCAACTGGATAAACACATTATGTGGTAGGTGAGCAATTGGCTCATGGTCAAGCACAGAGGGTGCCCTGGCAGCCAGGAGGGCCAGCCCTGTCCTGTGGAGGGCATCAGGCAAAGCATTGCCAGATGCTCTGCACCTTGAATATTGTGTGCAGTTTTGGGCACCACAATATAAGAAAGATATTAAGCCATTAGGGCAACAGGTATAGTGAAGAACCTTGAGGGAAAGCCGTATGAGGAGTGGCTGAGGTCACTTAGCGTGTTCTGCCTGGAGAAGAATAGACTGAGGGGAGACCTCATGGCGTCTACAACTTCCTCGTGAGGGGAAGAGGAGGGGTAGGCACTGATCTCTTCTCTATCAGTGACAGGACCCAAGGGTTGGAGTTCTGTCAGGGGAGGTTTCAGTTGAATACTGGGAAAAGGTTCTTCACCCAGAGGGTGGTTGGGTACTGGAACAGGCTTCCCAGGGAAGTGGTCACAGCACCAAGCCTGGCTTTTTTATTAACCATATATTGAGTCACTTATGTATGGACTGCTTTCTCAGCAGGGGAGGGAAGAAGATAAAAAAGGATTATACAAGGCATTGCTATTTTTTCCATACCACTGTGCTGTGTTCACTCACCTTTGGTCATCCCAGTCACAACTTTACTAAGAGCTAGTTCAGCGTAACAAAGGCATTTTAGAAATGAGAAAATTGTGACGTCTGAATATTGATCATGAGCTGTCATGGAATGATCTCTTTATATAATCATTGATTTTTCAACTTAGTTTGTCTTAACTTCATGCTGATCTATATTTATACAAAGTACTAATCATATTTATTACAATCATATTTTAGGAACTTGGGATCACAAATGGTTTATTACCTACATAGCTGGAGGGACTTCTCCTGCTGTTTTGCTGTTATTTTTCCTATTGATCTTCTGCATCATCAGTGCTTTTTGCAAAAAGTGAGTAACAAATCAATTTGCATAATATACTGAAGCGGGTAAGTAGAATGTGTTAACAGCTCATCCCTACTATCCTATTCAGAACCAACTAAAAACAAGATCTATGCAAAAATTAAATTTTGTCATCTAAATTTTAACCTTGAAAAAATTAATCAGTTCTACAGCCTATGAAAAAAATTACATTTTCTGGTTGATGTTTTTTTTTTTTTGTTTGTTTGTTTTGT